CCCGAAAAAATATTCTGTCTTCAACGACACAACTTTATCTTCTGAAAATTGCAATATTACTTTTTATTGCTGTAAGATTTTTATCATTTTTTAAGCTAATCTATTATACAGAGTGTCCATTAGAAATTCGTCCGCAGTATCTTTTGAGGTGATTCGGGGCCAAAAAGAAAAAAATGCTATATAAATTATAAGCTGTATAAACAGGTCTGGAGTTATTTCCGAATTATACGAGATATTTTATATTTTATGCAAATTATAAATGACATGACAAAGTACAAAATATCTTTTAAAGTATTGATTTTTCGGTGACTTTACCAACACTTTTATAGAATAATTAGAGGAATTATATTACATAAAAAATATATATATAATTCTATTTTTAAAAAATCTATGTAATTTTTACCTGACCTTACGACGTCCAAAGTCAAACGGATAAAATCATTAAACAGATTCTTTCATGCTCTAAAACTTTGTCTAAAACATTTTTCTCAAAAACGTTCAATTTCCAAAATATTAAAGGGTTGCCATACTTTTCGGACACCCTGTATATACATATATGAGTCATATTTTATATATCAATGATTATCAATAGATATTTCGGATTTATAATCTTTAGTTTATCATTTTCTTAACTTTATATTTTGTGCATAAGATTTTATATTTTATAATATAAGATATTTATGTATACATGTAAAATATATGAAGTACAAAGAAAAATATAAGTATCTATTAGATTCGAATAGCATGTCTAAATTGTACAACAGAATTTTGAATATGAGATCATACAAGTTGCCAAGTATTTGATTAGACATAGAAACATAAATATTTTTTAAATAAACCGTTTAAAACATCCAAAAGTATATGCAGCAAATGTCTAATCTGTCATTGTCTTTTCAAATAATATAAGTTTCACGAAACAGACTTAAAGTGACCAATGTGGGATCATAGTGAAGCAAAAACTTGCTGTGCCCGGTTTGCATTAATTAATAAGATGTAGATAAAATGCGGGCATGCCAAGTTTTTGATTCTATGATTTCATTCGTTATGTTTAAGCCTGGATGATCTCATATTTATTTTTGGACAACTTTTATTTGTTAAAATAATATTTTTAGTTTAAAAAAGTATATATATATCTAACATAAAAATAATGTGTTTGTCAAAGTTTCAAAAGTGTATATTTAAAATATGTACTTCTATATCATTGCCAAAATATTTAATATAATTAATAAATCATTTATCATCAATCAAATA